AAGCAGCTGAGGATACCTACATTTACTTATGAGGGGACAGAGTTTACATCATTACTATTCAGAAGTAAGATCTAGCATTAGTAAGATTATGTGGGGACAGGGCAACCAGATGCTCTGTCTACCCACATTAGTAGTAGAGCTAATGTTTTGATTTCCATTTTTCTTACAGCTTTGTCTTCTCAGTTGGTTCTGAACTCCCAGCAAGGTGAGAACAGTGTCATTACTTATCACCTGAAACCCCAACCCTTACATGGATGCTGCGCAGTCATAAGGTGTGAGAACCTGCTGCTAGGAGAGAAGTTAGCTGACAGTGTTCAGCGACCACACTTTCGGGATCTGCTGGGGCATTTTGTTCACACCAAAGCTACTTTCTCCCCAAGATGCTTGCAGCCAATGACCAAGCATGAAGAAGGAGGACACTAGAGTCCAGCCATTTCAACACCATGCAGGGCTCCTCTGATGTTCAGTCTTTGTGCTATGCCCCAGACTTCCTCAGACTCATTGCACTGCAAACTGAAGTACTCCTGTCTAAGCCTCCTTCCTACTTTCTCTCCTTGTCCCTGCTCCTGCTCCTTTGCCTGCTCCTCTCCCTTTAATCCTTCACAGACTTTCCCTATAACTCCCCTGCACTTCTACCTCCATCTTGGTATCTTCTTCCCTCGAGGTCCAAACTGACTCCATGAGTATTATCATCCTTTTCATTTCACAGCGGAGGAAGTTGGTCTCCAGGCAAGGAAGTAAAAGGCATATTTGCTTCCTTTTAGAAGTTTATACACACTTTTAAGTTTGAGGTTCATTTAGAAAAAATACTTCATCTACATTTTGAAAGAAAATTTGAATGACTTGTATGTTGCACTAATCATGTTTAAAAAAAAAAGAAGACAATGTCATTTTTTTGGAAGACTGAGCCCAATTGGACTTATCCGCTTAATGCAAAAATAAGAAGCCATGCTGACTTCTAGAAAAGGGAAGAGAATACTAAGATGGGAACCATTCCTAGCATTCATTGTTGAGGTTCGAAAGTGGGAAGACTCAGAATGTGTTTATCAGAAAAACAAATTATCCCAATAAGCCAATAGCTGCGGTGCTGATCATCACATACAGACCTTGACCTTCACCTTCTCCTGGTTTCAGAACATGTAACTTGTAAGTAGATTATGTAACCCACACTCTTTCGCTTTGCAGAAATGGAAAATGCATTACACTGAGAAAATGGTTTTTTTAAATTTGGTTTTTACCTTAACAAAATAAGCCTGAATTTGATTTTTCATCTTCAGACATATTAGAAAAGGATAAAAGAATCACTCTGTGATATTTTAATCCTTAGTAATATCTAAACATGAACATATCATAACACATAAAAATTAAATGGAAGTTACTTTCCATGGCATAATTTTTCAAAGGAAGGAGAAAAAGGACTTACCTTCACTAGAGTCTTTAGAACATTCTGGCTTCTTTGCTTTGCTCTTCTTCTGGGGTGGAGAGAGGCCTTTTGGTTCCAACCCCTCTGGAATTACAAAGATTTAATACAGTCTTATTTAAATATTTACCAGTAGGGTTCAAAATTATGTTGAAGTTGAGAAGTGTTTTCTTCCTAGTAAACCCACACATACACTGAATCTTAATTGTAGATTCATCTGTCATCAAGGCTGAGCTAAATTTTGGCAAGGACCTGTGATTCTCCAACCTACATAGCCTTAAGCATCAGGTTTAAGCTAAAACATTTTTGTAGACATCATTAATGCTTCACACAAACATCAAATCTTACACATATGCTATCTTTAATTTTAAAATTCTCCATAAGGGAATCCCATTATTATTTTTTCCTCCAAGACAGTTTGATCTTACAATTCATGGATTAATTGACAGTTGTCATTGTACAATTTCACCTTGATCCTCAAAGTAGAGCTAGATGAATGGTGGATGTGATGGGACTAGAAATTATCCTTCTTCTATTTAACAAGCTTCTTAGTAAGCGAGATTCTAAACAAGTTCCACATGCCCCAAATTAAATGATTGCACTTCCCAAATTCCTCAATGCCCCTCC